TCCATGTTGAAATTTCGTAGTGTGCCAGTAGGCACCTTTCACAGTCACAATGAACCTATCAGCATCGCATATGGCCGTCATGAGGCCTTGGCGAGACAACAACAGCACACAACACAATCTACTGAGATTCAGACTGAGGTAAACCAGAGTATTTTCACTGTGCTGTTTTCCCCAATGTTTGTTTGGATTCAGGAATGCTATGTTGATTCTTATTCAATTTGGTGCATACTTGAAGCCCTGGGTTACATTCAAGAGGTCATCTTCTAACGTGATGTTTTATCAACTTATTATGGCTTCTCTGGACATAAATCCCCATTTCCCTTCCAGAAAGAACCTTGTTATGTTATGGCTAGTCGCTCATGACAGACGAGCTGGCCAGACCAGTGCACACACAAGAATTGGTTCTGGGTGCCGAGATTATATGATAATTTACTTTTATTTATATGAACACTGTGTACACTCAACTGAAATCAGTTTGCAAGGGTTAGGCTAAAGGTTCTGAAACTGTAACCATTGACATATACGTGCTGACAGACACACACATCCATAAATTACACATTTACACATACAGTAAACACCCATAACATAGCATTCAAGTCTTACATCGATCAACTGTGATGACACTAACATGTTTGTCACGTTCGTTGAATGACGGGACAGACCAAGGCGCAGCGTGATATATGTACATGTTTATTCAACTAAATAAACACACGACAAAACAAGAAACGAAACGTGAAGTCCTAAGGTAGATACACACAACATACCTTACACGGAACAAGATCCCACAACTCAATAGTGCCAATAGGCTGCCTAAGTATGGTCCCCAATCAGAGACAACGAGCGACAGCAGAACTATGCATACTAGATCCCACATAGAAAATACTACATAACAAAGAATATACACACCCTGACTCAACATATACGAGTCCCCTGAGTCAGGGCGTGACAATGTTTTGTACTCTGGCAGGACACTTGGTCAGTGTTCTGGACTCTGGACGGACTTGAACGTCACTGTTGATTTACCCCACGGAAAATTCATTCTCAGTTCAATCCCAAAGGCTCAGATAAGGACCAATGTGTGCTTTGGTGGAAAAGTAGACTCGTAACAGACGTTAATATCCTAAATAGAGTAGCTGGCCTCTAAGTCTCTTAGTCCTTCTTTTAAACATATTTGCTGTATGCTTTATGTTATTGAGATAGGACAGTGAAGAGGAGACAGGAAAGATAGCAAGTCAGAAGGACAGTGGTTCAGATTCAAACTCATACCGACTCTGGTAGCCTAGGCCAGCACTTCTCAAACCTCTCCTTGGGGACCCCCAGACGTGTCACAATTGAGTTGTAGCCCTGAACTAGCTCACGTGATTCCCCTAGTCAAGGGCATGTTGATTAGTTGAAAAGTTTAATCAGGTGTGCTAGCTCTAGAATAGATAAAATACCTGGAACATCTGGGGGTCCCTGAGGAGAGGTTTTTAGAATGTAATGTTATGACTATAACTACCCTTCCCTGAAGGAGGGAAACGAGGTACAACATACAATGGGGAGTCGCACTCTCGCGACATTGCTTGAAGGATATACAATTGCGCCTGACAAAGCCAATGAAATCCACACCTCGCTGGAAGACCCGCCTTCCACAGGTGATATGTGTGAGACTCGGATTCATTCCTTCAAACCGCTCTTCACTGAGCCCAGGAATGGGCGGTGTGGGGGCCAAACAGGTGTTTTATCTAATTTCCCTCCTTCAGGGAACAGTAGTTATAGTCATAGCGTTAGATTTCCTTTCAGTCAGTCAACATACTATGGGGAAATATAATCACGCCCCAAGCAGACCCCAACAGATACTAAATGAAACGGCCCATGGTAGACCACCCAGACGTGACCTCACCAGATGCGGCAGTCTGGGTATTGTGCACACGGCATGCTGCCTAGTGACTTTCACCTGTACCAGCTGTAGGCATGCTGTGGGCTACACTGGGAGAAGTGACATCCAAGTGATAAAACTTCACAAAAGTGTGTGGTGATGCCAAACTGGCCGCAGCACAAATATCTCCTATAGTCAACCCTTTAAACAATGCCCAAAACTCTGCCAGACCCCTGGTGGAGTGGGCGCGTATACCACTAGGTAACCCTTGTCCCTTGCTCTTTTATGGCAGGAGATAGCCTCCACAATCCAGTGGGAGAGACGCTGCTTAGAGAGTGCCCTGCAGCTGAGCTGGATTAACAAAACAGACAAAAAGCTGGTCACACAACCAGAAATCCCAGGTTGTTCAATGTACGTGCGTAAAGCTCGCACCAGACACAGGGCACGTAACCCATGTTGCTATTCAGAAGCAAACGGAGGAGGCGAAAAGGGAAAAACCTAAAAAGCTAAGGACTTGTAGGGCATAGCCAGGACTTTTGGGGCGAAGGCCGCATTTGGACACAACGTCACCTTAGAGTCGACCAGGGCGAACTGAGTACAGGAAGGGTGTACGGATAACGTGTGGAGGTCCCCAACACATTTAGCAAAGGCCTAAGCCATGAGTAGGGAGGTTTTGTAGGAGAGGATTTTCAGATCCACCGACTCCAGAGGCTCAAAGGGGGCCCACACAGTTCCTCCAAAACCACTGCCAAGTCCCATGTGGGCGAAATAGGTTTAGAGACCGATCTGAGAAGACATACACCTTTCAGGAACCGCAACACCAGGGTGTGAGCCCCCGGTGAGGCTCCGTCAATTCCCACATGCTGAGATAGCGGCCTTGTACACTTTTAAAGTGGAGAATGCTTGAAAAGCTCCTGTAGGAACAAAACTATTTCCCTCACAGAGCACTGAAAAGGAACCAGCCTTTTATCTTGGCACCAGAGCTCAAACACTTGCTACTTATACACATACAGCTCTTTCGTGGAGGGAGCACTTGCTGACTGAATGGTAGCAATAACATTCAGACGTAAACCTCTAGCCATCAGATCGGCCCTCTCAGTGGCCAGGTCCATAGTAACCAAATCTCCGGCCTCGCGTGCCAAACCTGCCCGTGCACCTGGGATAACAGATCATTGTGCTACCAGGAGTTGCCACGGGTCCCCACCTAAAAGGCAAACAATCTCCACGAACCAAGGCTGCCTGAGCCACAGGAAGCCACAAGAATCAATGATAAACCTTCCCGCAGCACCCTCTCCAATGTGTGCTGAATCCAAACCACTGGCGGAAATGCATAAAGGAAGGTCTGAGGCCACTGGTGCGCCAGAGCGCCCGTTCCCAACAGGGCACTTGGGTCCCTCATCGAGAAAAATAGACGCCTGCTCGTTTTCTCATGATGCTTAAAGATCTACGTCGGCACTGCCGAACATTTCCCATATTAGGGAGACCACCCAGGGGTGTAGCCTCCACTCCTGAGAGAGAGGGTCCCACCTGGATAAAATATCTGCACCTCTACTAGACACCTCATAGAGCTACAGGCAGGAATCAGCAATGAATCTTAGTAATGAGCCACCTATCGGGGAGGGGTGCCTCCTTGTGGACAGAGACCCAACTTATCACTCTCACCCTGGGGAGATTGATATTCCCCTTGAACCCCGTGAACACTGTGGAATGTGGGGTAACAGAGGGGACAGCATCAAACATGAACAAGTTTCCAATATACGTTGTGGTTCCATGAAACTATATAGCCTGCATGAAGCCCGGCCCCTAAGGGCACAGGGGGCTCTGGCAATGGCTTAGGTAGTACCCCGTTTAGCCAAAAGTGGGGGCACTGTTGTCACGGTAATGTTTTTGTGGAGGGGCACACTGGTCATTCAGATCCATGCCAAGGCCCCTCGCTCGGGTGGTTACCCCAACCAAGTGCTAGGGGGGGCTGCTTCCTCATCGGAGGTGCACGCAAACCCCTCTTCCTCCACTCCCTCCAACTCCAGGAATTGAAAATAGGAATGGGGTTGCCATAATGCCGGGGAAAAGCTAGTAAGTTTCACTCACCGGAAGTTAAGCATGATAGCCAACGTTAGCCAGGAGGCTTTTTATCCTAAGCCAGGCTAGCTAGCCAGGCTTTGATAGCAGCGTAGTCTGTTTAGAATCACCAAGCAACTTAACGGTATGTATACTGAACAAGAGAGCTACCCCAGGAACTTCACCGTGGGGTGACAGGAATAGCTAGTAATAGCTAGCTCCTCTCGGCGAATTAGCCAACCTGACTAGTACCACAGGAGGTTGGTGGCACCTTAATTGGGGAGGACGGGCTCGTGGTAATGGCTGGAGCGGCATGAGTAGAATAGTGTCAAATACATCAAACACATACTTTGATGCCATTCCATTTGCTCCGTTCCAAACATTATTATGAGCCATCCTCCCCTCAGCAGCCTCCACTGGCTAGCACGCTATGCAGCACTCATTTAGCTAGCCCGGTCTCGAAAGTCCACGTAGGACCGGAACACCGAGGTGTAGCTCAGTTGGTAGAGCATGGCGCTTGCAACGCCAGGGTTGTGGGTTCGTTTCCCATGGGGGGCCAGTATGAAAAAATGTATGCACTAGCTAACTCTGGATAAGAGCGTCTGCTAAATGACTAAAATGTAAATGTGGGACCGAACCCTTCCTCAACAAGTCTGGGAAGAGAGGTAAGCGGTGCTTGACCGAGGCAGACACAGGTGGCGGGGGGTACCCACCAAACCTGGCCACCCTCTTTCTTCGAGTACCCTCCCGTAACCGGTGACAGAGCGCACAGGTTGATAGTCTCGTTTTCCAATTGTTTGTTTTAGTAGCGTGAATCGTTCCTGTTCACACCAAGGTGAAGAATGGAATAATTGAAGGAATGAATCCGAGCCCCGCGTTTATCACCTGTGGAAGGCAGGACTTCCAGCGAGGTGCGGATTTCATTGGCCTTCTCAGACGTGATTGTATATCCTTCAACCGAAGTAGCGAGAGTGTGACTCCCCATAGTATGTTGTACGAAGTTGACTGACTGAAGGGAACCACTAGCCTAGGCTATATATGTGTGCTGGGGTCCGCAGAACTAAGTGTTGCACCACCCAGGCCACTACGTCTCATAGTCCTCATCCAGGTGCAAATGGCTGAGGCTGTGGTCGGGTATCACGCAGACAGATTTGCTCTTCTGCTTACGGTTCTTCTTCTGCTGTCCTGGGTCCTGATCCCCGGCCAGAGAGAGGTAAGAGGCCATGCTGTTTCTGACACCGTAACTCACCATGGCATCCCTGTTCTGCTGTCCCTGGGCAGCCCCTGCGCTGATCAGATCTTTCCTGTTGATTGGTTCATAAATATAGAGACAGGGGTGATTAGAACATGTTTGAGCCAATCATCAGGATTCAGGATGCAGAGTCACATCTTCCCAGTTTTCCCACAAGCCAAGTTTTCCATTGGCCAAAAAGCAGGACTACAATTTGATTGCAGAGATAAGAAAGCTACAACGAATGGGTCTGTACCTGTCTACTTTCTTCCAGTCAAAGTTGTTGTGTCGCATCACTACAGGGGGTGGCTGAGAGGGGATGTCGAGGGGGCTGAAAGTCCCAGACAGACACGGGCCAGTGAGAACACAACACAGTCCATCTGCAGAGTCTACAGATCAGAAAAGGACTGTGTTAGACACAGACATATACAAATGCACATACACTACCAGTCAAAAGTTTGGACACACCTACTCATTCAAAGGTTTTTCTTTATTTTGACTTTTTTTTACATTGTAGAATAATAGTGAAGACATCAAAACTATGAAATAACACATATGGAATCATGTAGTAACCAAAAAGTGTTAAACAAATCAAAATATATTTTATATTTGAGATTCTTCAAATAGCCACCCTTTGCCTTGATGACAGCTTTGCACACTCTTGGCATTCTCTAAACCAGCTGTATGAGGTAGTCACCTGGAATGCATTTAAATTAACAGGTGTGCCTTCTTAAAAGTTAATTTGTGGAATTTCTCTCCTTCTAAATGTGTTTGAGCCAATCAGTTGTGTTGTGACAATGTATAGGGAGGTATACAGAAGATAGCCCTATTTGGTAAAAGACCAAGTCCATATTATGTCAAGAACAGCTCAAATAAGCAAAGAGAAATGACAGTCCATCATTACTTTAAGACATGAAGGTCAGTCAATCGGAACATTTCAAGAACTTTGAACGTTTTTTCAAGTGCAGTACCAAAAACCATCAAGTGCTATGATGAAACTGGCTCTCATGAGGACCGCCACAGGAATGGAAGACCCAGTTACCTCTGCTGCAGAGGATAAATTCATTGGAGTTATCAGAAATTGCAGCCCAAATAAATGCTTCACAGAGTTCAAGTCACAGACACATCTCAACATCAACTGTTCAGAGGAGACTGTGTGAATCAATGGGACCCATCTCGTCCAAAAAGTTGACTCAAGTTTGCCAAAAAGCACCTGGATGATCATCAAGACTCTTGGAAGAACGTTCTATGGACAGATGATTCAAAAGTATAACTTTTTGGACAACATGGTTCCAGTAATGCCTGGCAAAAACCAAACTCTGCATTCCACAGTAAGAACATCATACCAAAGGTCAAGCATGGTGGTGGTGGTGTGATGGTTTGGGGATACTTTGCTGCCTCAGGACCTGGACCTCTTGCCTTAATAGAAGGAACCATTAATTCTGCTCTGTATCAGAGAATTCTACAGGAGAATGTCAGACCAGCCGTCTGTGAGCTGAAGCTGAAGCGCAGCTGGGTCATGCAGCAAGACAATGATCCAAAACACACAATCTACATGAAAATTGCTAAAACCAACAAATTGGAAGTTTTGGAATGGCCTAGTCAAAGTCCAGACCTAATCCCAATTGAGATGTTGTGGTAGGACTTGAAACGAGCAGTTCATGCTTGAAAACCCACACGTCACTGAGTTAAAGCACTTCTGCATGGAAGAGTGGGCCAAAATTCCTCCACAGCGACGTGAGAGACTGATCAACAACTACAGGAAGCATTTGGTTGGAGTCATTGCAGCTAAAGGTGGCACAACCAGTTATTGAGTGTAAGGGGGCAATTACTTTTTCACACAGGGGAATTGGGTGTTGCATAACTTTGTTTATGAAATAAATGAAATAAATATGTAATTGTTGTGTTATTTGTCCACTTATGTTCCCTTTATCTAATATTAGGTTTTGGTTGAAGATCTGATAACATTCAATATCATAAATATGCAAAAGTAGAGAAAATTAGAAAGGGGGCAAATACTTTTTCATAGCACTGTATATGTAAAAGACAGCCAACAAAGTTTAAATTAAGCCTCTAAAATCGATAGATCAATATATCCCCAAGCAACTGGGAGAGAGCGAGTTAGTTAGGAACAACAGCAAACCAATCATTATTTTTATTTATTATTTTCCCCTAACTCTACCACTCCTCCACTAATTGGAGTAAACTAATGGACAACAACACTTAGGCTTCTACTTCCAGTTTATACATACTATATACATTTTACGGACACAGAATATTGTACATTAGTTTGTTTTTAGTCCCATCCTTCAGCTACCCTCAACCCCTCCCATCTATCTCTGAAGACCATTTCTATTTGCCATATATTTTTCAACTGTGCTGTGATGTTTCACAAATGTTCTGAACCTATATACATTTTACGGACACAGTATATTTTACATTAGTTATCTTGTTTTTGTTATTTTTAGTTCCACCCTTCAACTCCGCTCCACCCCTCCTATCTATCTCCGAACTAATCAGTTGGTAAAGTGGCGCAGCGACACAAATCCAACAAGCCATGGCTTCCCCCAGAGCAAAAGACAAGGAGCAACTTGGAGATGCAAACGAGAGTAATGAATAGCTAAAGGATATCCAGGAAAAGATAGCTAAAATGCTCTCAATGCACACCGGAACAAACAAACTGCTACAATCTGTTGTTAAGAAAGTAGATTTGTTGAAAAGAAAGTAGAGTCTATCGTCAGACATGCACATATGAGGCATGCGCAAGAACAAACAAGACAACAAAATTAGCCTTCTGGAAACAAAGTAACAAACTTTAGTAACTGTTGAAAAACAAATGATAGTCCCACTAAGCACAAATCAGATGGGATGGCGTATCGCTGCAGAATGCTGTGGTAGCCATGCTGGTTAAGTGTGCCTTGAATTCTAAATAAATCACAGACAGTGTCACCAGCAAAGCACCCCCACACCATCACACCTCCTCTTCCATACTTCACGGTGGGAACCACACATGCGGAGATAATCCTTCACCTACTCTGCGTCCCACAAAGACATGGGGATTGGAACCAAAAATCTCAAATTTGGACTCATCAGACCAAAGGACAGATTTCCACCGGTCTAATGTCCAATCCTCGTGTTTCTTGGCCCAAGCAGGTCTCTTCTTATTATTGGTGTCCTTTGGAAGTGGTTTCTTTGCATCAATTCGACCATGAAGGCCTGATTCACACAGTCTCCTCTGAACAGTTGATGTTGAGATGTATCTGTTACTTGAACTCTGTGAAGCATTTATTTGGGATGCAATCTGAGGTGCAGTTAAGTCTAATTAACTTATCCTCTGCAGCAGAGGTAACTCTGGGTCTTATAATATAGTCTTCCTTCCCTGTGGTGGTATCTCATGCGAGCCAGTTTCATCATGACGCTTGATGGTTTTTGCGACTGCACATTAAGAAACTTTCAAAGTTCTTGAAATGTTCCATATTGACTGACCTTCATGTCTTAAAGTAATGATGGACTGTCTTTTCTCTTTGCTTATTTGAGCTGTTCTTGCCATAATATGGACTTGGTCTTTTACCAAATAGGGCTATCTTATGTATACCAATCCTACCTTGTCACAACACAACGAGGAAGAGCTTGGATTTGTTGTTTTGAAAAGTTTGTTGTTTTGAAAGTGTATTGGGAAGTTATTTGTAGCTAGCTAACTTTTTAGTTTGGATCCCGCGACACAGTTGGCATCAGTTGCTGGGATTGCTAGTCTCTGTCCAGTGATCCTGCCGACCAAGGACGAGTCTGAGGAGCTATTTGGCGTTGCAGCTAGCCTAGCTGCTAGCTAGCAGCATATCAAGCTAGCTGGGTTTTCTTGAGGGCTTGAATGCAGCCTGTGACGTGGTTAGCCATTGTGGCTGGGCCCGCGGATTGTCCCGGGTTTGTGGATGTCTTGATCCCTGCTGTTTGTTGTTTTCAATCTTCGCTGTGACCTGCCCTGTCTGGAACTGCGAGGAGTAACAGCGTAACCTACATTGCTAGCTACCATGACAAAGACCAAAGCCGGCGGGAGTACTATTGTCGAGTACAGTGGTGTCTCTCTATCACACGTGAAGGATCTTTTAAACAAACAAAAAGAGTTCTACAAGCAGTTGTTACAATAACAATAAAATAGCTTCAAGTGCTTTGTCCAAATACTGGTGGATTCGACTAATAAAAGAATGTACGACCTGACCAGAGAGGTCCAGGACATAAAGAACAGTTTGCAGTTCTTCCAGGGTCAGATCGATGAGTTGAAACAGGAGAACGGCAAGATTACAGTAATCTGTAAGTAATTGAGAGAGGACATCAGTTCTGTCTGTGAATCATTGATAACAATGACAGATAAATAAGACGATCTCGAGGGACAATCAAGGCGTAACAACATGGTTGTGGACGGAATTGCAGAATCTCCACGAGACCTGGACAGAGTCTGAGGACAAAGTGAGGGAAATTATCTCTGAGAAATTGAAGATGGACCATTCATTCTTTAAACTGGTATCGGGGGACCTTCAGACGAGTCTTGTAAGGCCTGTGGCATCCTAGAGCGCACAGTCGACATGTGCGAGTTCGTGGGAGTCTCACCTTTCCACAGAGGGGTCATATTAGTGTCTCATGGTCTGACAAACATCGCTCTAGCTCTGTAGATAGTAAGTATTGGCTGGAAGTAGAGGCCTGGGCATTGTTGTTCACTAATTTACCCTAAGACAATTACATTGATAGAAGTTACAATCTATCTGCAATATTAAGCTGATCTACCCCCAGAAATAAAAACATTATTAAAAAAATATATCGGCGGATGCGGTGGATTGACACACATCCAATGCAAACAAACGGATATCTCTAGCATAAATTGATGAATTTGTATGGGGATTTTGTTATTATGCCGCGGAAATCGACTCTAGGTTAGGCTCCTACTCCTCCCCTAATGTACCAAAAATCTGTGGATTATGTCATTGTACATACATTGGAGAAAGACTGCCACTTAAAAGCACTAAAAAGGCATAGCGCCTCAAAGTACAAGGAAGTACTTGCTTTATGTTTTTTGTGTATCCTCTGTTAAATGTTTGCTCAGCCTACATGTTCTTACATGTTCTGGCAATTGAACCACTTGCAGAAAGAATTAGACAGGACCCAAATGTAACAGGTATCAGTATTGATAAACATGAATATAAACTAAACGTATTTGCTGACCGTCTCCTGATATACAGTTGAAGTCGGAAGTTTACATACACCTTAGCCAAATACATTTAAATTCAGTTTGTCACAATTCCTGACATTTAATCCTAGTAAAAATGCCCTGTCTTAGGTCAGTTAGGATCACCACTTTATTTAAGAATGTGACATGTCAGAATAATAGTAGAGATAATTATTTATTTCAGCTTTTATTTCTTTCATCACATTCCCAGTGGGTCAGAAGTTTACATACGCTCAATTAGTATTTGCTAGCATTGCCTTTAAATTGTTTAACTTAGGTCAAACATTTCGGGTAGCCTTCCACAAGCCCATTCCTCCTGACAGAGCTGGTGTAACTGAGTCAGATTTGTAGGCCTCTTGCTCACACACGCTTTCTCAGTTCTGCCCACAAATGTTCTATAGAATTGAGGTCAGGACTTTGTGATGGCCACTCCAATACCTTGACTTTGTTGTCCTTAAGCCATTTTGCCACAACTTTGGAAGTATGCTTTGGGTCATTGTCCATTTGGAAGACCCATTTCCGACCAAGCTTTAACTTCCTGACTGATGTCTTGAGATGTTGCTTCAATATATCCACATAATTTTCCTTCCTCATGATGCCATCTATTTTGTGAAGTGCACCAGTCCCACCTGCAGCAAAGCACCCCCACAACATGATGCTGCTACCCCCGTGCTTCACGGTTAGGTTGGCATTCTTCGGCTTGCAAGCATTTTTTCCTCCAAACAACACGATGGTCATTTTGGCCAAACAGTTCTATTTTTGTTTCATCAGAGCAGAGGACATTTCTCCAAAAAGTATGATCTTTGTCGCCATGTGCAGTTGCAAACCGTAGTCTGTCTTTTTTATGGCGGTTTTGGAGCAGTGGATTCTTCCTTGCTGAGCGGCCTTTCAGGTTATGTCGATATAGGACTCGTTTTACTGTGGATGTAGATACTTTTGTACCTGTTTCCTCCAGCATCTTCACAAGGTCCTTTGCTGCTTTTCTGGGATTGATTTGCACTTTTCGCACCAAAGTACGTTCATCTCTAGGAGACAGAACGCGTCTCCTTCCTGAGCGGTATGACGGCTGCGTGGTCCCATGGTGTTTATACTTGCTTACTATTGTTTGTACAGGTGAACGTGGTACCTTCAGGTGTTTGGAAATTGCTCCCAAGGATGAACCAGACTTGTGGAGGTCTACATTTCTTGGCTGATTTCTTTTGATTTTCCCATGATGTCAAGCAAAGAGGCACTGAGTTTGAAGATAGGCCTTGAAATACATCCACAGGTACACCTCCAATTGACTCAAATTATGTCAATTAGCCTATCAGAAGCTTCTAAAGCCATGACATAACTTTCTGGAATTTTCCAATCTTTTTAAAGGCACAGTCAACTTAGTGTATGTAAACTTCTGACCCACTGGAATTGTGATACAGTGAATTATAAGTGAAATAATCTGTCTGTAAACAATTGTTGGAAAAATTACTTGTGTCATGCACAAAGTAGATGTCCTAACCGACTTGCCAAAACTATAGTTTGTTAACAAGAAATGTGTGGATTGGTTGAAAAAGGAGTTTTAATGACTCCAACCTAAGTGTATGTAAACTTCCGACTTCAATTGTACCTGACCAATATTGAAAACTCAATATTTATTATCGGTAATACCAATTACCCCACCGAAGACATTCTTTAAAACAAGTATACTCAGCACAGTACCATAATATACTTTATATGGGCAAATTAAACTCATAGAATAAAAAGGAAAGTTTTACATCTTTCTAAGTCTAAGGCTGCTTTTAACCTTTCAGACTTGGAATTGTATCAACTCTTTGTAAGGGTTGGTGTGAGGTGTGACCCAGGTGCGGTGCAGGATAGACAGTAGGCAGTAGGCAAGGATGGTGAAAGAAGGATCTTTACTGGTGGTCCAAAAGCCAGGATACAAAACAACGGACTAAAACATGAAAACAAATGAGGAGCACATACAGTGGGGAGAACAAGTATTTGATACACTGCCGATTTTGCAGGTTTCACTACTTACAAAGCATGTAGAGGTCTGTAATTTTTATCATAGGTACACGTCAACTGTGAGAGACGGAATCTAAAACAAAAATCCAGAAAAACACATTGTATGATTTTTAAGTAATTAATTTGCATTTTATTGCATGACATAAGTATTTGATCACCTACCAAACAGTAAGAATTCCGTCTCTCACAGACCTGTTAGTTTTTCTTTAAGAAGCCCTCCTGTTCTCCACTCATTACCTGTATTAACTGCACCTGTTTGAACTCGTTACCTGTATAAAAGACACCTGTCCACACACTCAATCAAACAGACTCCAACCTCTCCACAATGGCCAATACCAGAGAGCTGTGTAAGGACATCAGGGCTAAAATTGTAGACCTGCACAAGGCTGGGATGGGCTACAGGACAATAGGCAAGCAGCTTGGTGAGAAGGCAACAACTGTTGGCGCAATTATTAGAAAATGGAAGAAGTTCAAGATGACGGTCAATCACCCTCGGTCTGGGGCTCCATGCAAGATCTCACCTCGTGGGGCATCAATGATCATGAGGAAGATGAGGGATCAGCCCAGAACTACACGGCAGGACCTGGTCAATGACCTGAAGAGAGCTGGGACCACAGTCTCAAAGAAAACCATTAGTAACACACTACGCCGTCATGGATTAAAATCCTGCAGCGCACGCAAGGTCCCCCTGCTCAAGCCAGTGCATGTCCAGGCCCGTCTGAAGTTTGCCAATGACCATCTGGATGATCCAGAGGAGGAATGGGAGAAGGTCATGTGGTCTTATGAGAAAAAAATAGAGCTTTTTGGTCTAAACTCCACTCGCCGTGTTTGGAGGAAGAAGAAGGATGAGTACAACCCCAAGAACACCATCCCAACCATGAAGCATGGAGGCGGAAACATCATTCTTTGGGGATGCTTTTCTGCAAAGGAGACAGGACGACTGCACCGTATTGAGGGGAGGATGGATGGGGCCATGTATCGCGAGATCTTGGCCAACAACCTCCTTCCCTCAGTAAGAGCATTGAAGATGGGTCGTGGCTGGGTCTTCCAGCATTACAACGACCCAAAACACACAGCCAGGGCAACTAAGGAGTGGCTCCGTAAGAAGCATCTCAAGGTCCTGGAGTGGCCTAGCCAGTCTCCAGACCTGAACCCAATAGAAAATCTTTGGAGGGAGCTGAAAGTCCGTATTGCCCAGCGACAGCCCCAAAACCTGAAGGATCTGGAGAAGGTCTGTATGGAGGAGTGGGCTAAAATCCCTGCTGCAGTGTGTGCAAACCTGGTCAAGACCTACAGGAAACGTATGATCTCTGTAATTGCAAACTAAGGTTTCTGTACCAAATATTAAGTTCTGCTTTTCTGATGTATCAAATACGTATGTCATGCAATAAAATGCAAATTAATTACTTAAAAATCATACAATGTGATTTTCTGGATTTTTGTTTTAGATTCCGTCTCTCACAGTTGAAGTGTACCTATGATACAAATTACAGACCACTACATGCTTTGTAAGTAGGAAAACCTGCAAAATCGGCAGTGTATCAAATACTTGTTCTCCCCAAATACTTGTTCTCCGTCGTCCAGGGTAGGGGAGGGAATGGCCGGCAGGCATGTAGCTCAGTTGGTAGAGCATGGGTTGTGGGTTCGTTTCCCACCGGGTTTCAGTATGAAAAATCTAATAAAAAATAATGTATGCACTCACTAACTGTAAATCGCTCTGGATAAGAGCGACTGCTAAATGACTAAAATGTAAATGTCTCCAAAAAACAGGCTGACAACAAACAATACGAAATACTAACTCTGACTGGAAAACACAATCACACAGGAAAGGGTCCGACCTGTCAACAGAGTGATAATGTAGGCCACCCGGACCTGCTCCGTTGGGAAGGAGGAGGGTTGCAGGCTGAACATCAGGGAACACTGGGTGAGGAATTCCCTGCAGCCCTCTGGACATCCGTTGTACCTCTCCGGAGGTGGTAGTCGGGGTTCCTGTGATGTCGCAGGCGAGACTGAAGATGCCGCTGCCGCGGCTTCCGCTCCGCCGGCTGCCGGGGCTGGGCAGGTGCCCACCTGGCTCTGCACGGCGATCCCTCCTGGGCACCCCGGACTGCTCCACTGGCCCATAACCCTCCCAGTCCACCAGAAATAGGAGACCCCTCCCCACCCGCCGGCAGTCCAGGATCCTGTCCACCGTAAAAGCTGGCTGCCCTCCGACGAGGCACAGCGGGGTAACAGGACGAGGAGGGGGAGCCAGGGGACAGGTGGCGACGGAAGTTGCAGGCGGTAGGTCACTGGATTGACTTGCCGGACCACGCAATGGCCCGACGGGACCGCCACCTCCTTCTCTTGCTCAGGGAATAGGGGCGCTTGGGGATAGGCTGGGGTTGGAGCAGCCCTGCCGTGGGATGACGTGAGCTCTTCGTGCGTGCGCACACTGGGCAAGCAGCCACGAAGGCGTGCGTATCCCCCTCAGCAGATGGCCACCAGAACCTCCTACGCAGGAACTCCAAAATCCTGGTGCTTTCCGGATGGCTGGTGAGGTCAGACGCATGCGCTCACTGAAGCAGTCGCGAACACGCAGTCTTGGGTACGCACATCCTCCCCGATGGACCTCCGCCCGGATCGGGCTCCCGCCGTAGCGCTGCTCTGACCAGCCTATCAATTCTCCATTAAACTGGGGCAGCCATCAGGGCATTGGGGACAATGGGGTCGTCCCTCATGGCCAGCGTCTCCGGCTGGGACAAGAAAAGCCATCGCCCTCGTGAAATACGACCCAACCCTGTAACAGCTTTTACTTGAAACATATTGTTAAATGGACTAAAGAGGAACAATGGGTACATATTGAAGATGTGCATGCTCATCCTCAGAATATTTTTATGAGTCTATTTATAAAGTATAAAGCTAAGAACATTAACAACTTCGTAGTTAAGAACACTATAACAATATGGGAGAAAATGAAACAATTCTACAAGAACCAATATCACTCCCTGAAAACAATCCTTGGATATCACTAATAAATCAGAAAAGTGGAAAACTAAAGGCATAGAAACCGTAAATGACTTGGTAATAGGATTTTTATTTATTCCATTTCGGATTGACCAATGTAGACATTTTCAAATACGTAGACATTTTCAAAAAAGTTTATGTCATGATTTTTCGACCTGAAATCTTTGGACATCAGAGCAATGTTGAGGGAATCCTATTTGACTCAGAAAAGGATCCTTATATGATAGGCTTTCTGCAAGGTTTTGTATATATTACCTATCTAACTGACAATTTCTTGGAAAAAAATCTTTAAAATAACGGATATAGGCACAAGATGGAGGGAGTGTTGGAACATAACTAACGAAATTACAGTTAATGAAAATGTACTCTTAATCCAGTATAAACGAATGTATAGAATGTATTATACAAAATGCAAAACAAACAAATTCTGCAGCACATTGGCAGAGTCATGTCTTAAGTGTAAAACGAATAATGACTCAATAATCCATGCTTTCTGGGAATGCTATAAAGTCTGGAAGACGTATTACAATGTAAACTTATTTTTAATCCGTCTATCTGCATATTTCAAGACATGGCATATTGGGGTGTAGTGAGATAAGCAATGGGCTGGACCATGCTTTACTCGTCAATGATTTTGAAAAACATTCTACTCAAAAACTGGAAATGGAATGATCCTCCATCACTACGACAGTGGATGAATCAAATGTATTAATATTGAAATATTGAAAAGGTAAAAAATAAAACAGTGCAATTTGAGGCCATATGGCATAGAGTGCTACAAGTACAGGAAAGTTGAAGGATGAGGGGGAGTGTGATTGTGAGAAATGTGTGTGTGTTTGTTTATTGTCTTTTGTTTTGTATGGTTGTTATTGTTTGAGAAAATAAATCAAAATAAAACATTAATGTGACAGTCGATATGAAAGACCTAGTCTCAGCACAAATATGTTCAAATGGTCATCATCAACAACACCATTACTTCCTGTTTTGTTCTTAGTGTATGTACTCTCAGAGCTAGGCAACGCACAGTGGAAAGATGGCTAGAATCTGATAAGAACAAAGCTATTTAAAAATGCTTGAGGTTATTTTCAGTGTGTGTGTCTGTCTCGTTGTTGGAATCACTAGAGAAGGGGTTGACCATACCTTCAGGTTATTTTCAGTGTGTGTCTGTCTCTGTGTTGGACCCCACAGAGTAGTGGTTGACCATCTCTTCAGCTTAGTTTTAGTGTGTGTGTCTGTCTCTGTCATGGACTCACCAGAGTAGTGGTTGACCATCTCTTCCAGGCACTGGAAAGTCAGACGAGGAGAGATATAGTACCAGCTGTTCTCCAGGCGATAGATTTTATAGTGCTTGATGGATCTGTGCTTTACAGACATGGTGTAGACACCTGCAAATGTAATATAACATAAAAGGCATTAGATATAGGCCTAGATAGAACCAATAGATACCCATCTCCTATCATCCTACTGACGTCCAGTTAATAACCCCCTTGAGTTGATGTCTGTACCAGGAAAATCAAATTAGCGGAAATCAAATTAGCATAATAATAATAAATAAATAAACGTCTGATCAATCCACCGCCTCCAGCAATTGGCAGCCTTCCGCATCTGTGGTGGAAGGTGGCTGAGCTACAGCGGTGTTTGTCATGAGACCATGAGACATCCCGAAAATCGGTCTTCTCACTAAAACGTCTGTAGCGTCCGAACGGTTTGACCTAGAAACTAATAATAATGACCACTCTATGATCGGACGAAAGATGAGACACTCACGAACACAATGATGTTCACCGTTTTGCTCTACGACTCTCACAAGCGTCACAGGACTCGTCTGAAGTCGGTACCGCCGATCTGCCAATTTCTGTCTGTAGCATCCAAACAGTTTGGGCTAAAAAACACTAATATGATCCTTCAATGGAAAGGTAACTCTCACGAACACGTACACTACCGTTCAAAAGTTTGGGGTCACTTAGAAATGTCCTTGTTTTCCATGAAAACATACATGAAATGAGTTTGAATAGGAAATATAGCAAAATACATAGGAAATGTAGTCATTGACAAGGTTAGAAATAATGATTTTTAATATAAATAATAATTGTGTCCTTCAAACTTTGCTTTCGTCAAAGAATCCTCCACTTGCAGCAATTACAGCCTTGCAGACCTTTGGCATTCTAGTTGTCAATTTGTTGAGGTAATCTGAAGAGATTTCACCCCATGCTTCCTGAACCACCTCCCACAAGTTGGATTGGCTTGATGGGCACTTCTTACATACCAAACGGTCAAGCTGCTCCCACAACAGCTCAATGCGGTTGAGATCCGGTGACTGTGCTGGCTACTCCATTATAGACAAAATACCAGCTGACTTCTTCTTCCCTAAATAGTTATTGCATAGTTTGGAGCTGTGCTTTGGGTCATTGCCCTGTTGTAGGAGGAAATTGGCTCCAATCAAGCGCCGTCCACAGGGTATGGCATGGCGTTACAAAATGGAGTGATAGCCTTCCTTCTTCAAGATCCCTTTTACCCTGTACAAATCTCCCACTTTACCACCACCAAAGCACCCCCAGACCATCACATTGCCTACACCATGCTTGACAGATGGCATCAAGCACTCCTCCAGCATATTTTCATTTGGTCTGCATCTCACAAATGTTCTTCTTTGTGATCCGAACACCTCAAACTTCGATTCGTCTGTCCATAACACTTTTTTCCAATCTTCCTCTGTCCAGTGTCTGTGTTATTTTTCCCATCTTAATCTTTTCTTTTTATTGGCCAGTCTGAGATATGGCTTTTTCTTTGCAACTCTGCCTAGAAGGTCAGCATCCCGGAGTCGCCCCTTCACTGTTGACGTTGAGACTGGTGTTTTGTGGGTACTATTTAATGAAGCTGCCAGTTGAGGACCTGTGAGGCATCTGTTTCTCAAACTAGACATTCTAATGTATTTGTCCTCTTGCTCAGTTGTGCACCGGGGCCTCCCAATCCTCTTTCTATTCTGGTTAGAGCCAGTTTGTGCTGTTCTGTGAAGGGAGTAGTACACAGCGTTGTACGAGATCTTCAGTTTCTTGGCAATTTCTCGCATGGAATAGCCTTCATGTCACGAACGTCTACTAGGTGAGTGGACCAAGGCGCAGCGTGCGATACGAACATGACTTTATTAAATTAAAGTACTCAATACAAAACAACAAACAATGACGAATCGTGAAGTCCTCAGTTACAATGACTGATACGGAACAAAAACCCACAACACTAAGGTGAACACTGACAGTTTAAATATGGCTCCCAATCAGAGATAACGAGCCGACAGCTGACACTCGTTACCACTGATTGGGAGTCACACGACCAAACAAGGAAACACAACCAAATACAACACAACCAATACCAAACACAACCAAATGAACACACCCTGGCTCAAAATACACAGTCCCGGAGCCAGAGCGTGACACTTCATTTCTCAGAACAAGAATAGACTGATGAGTTTCAGAAGAAAGTTATTTGTTTCTGGCCATTTTGATTCTGTAATCGAACACACAATTGCTGATGCTCCAGGGACTCAACTAATCTCAAGAAGGCCAGTTTTATTGCTTCTTTAATCAGCACAACAGTTTTCAGCTGTGTTAACGTAATTGCAAAAGGGTTTTCTAATGATCAATTAGCCTTTTAATATGATAAACTTGGATTAGCAAACACAACGTGCCATTGGAACACAGGACTGTTGGTTGCTGATAATGGGCCTCTGTACGCCTATGTAAATATTCCATTAAATATCAGCCGTTTCCAGCTACAATAGCCATTTACAACATTAACAATGTCTACACTGTATTTCTGATCAATTTGATATTATTTTAATGGACAAAAAAATTGCTTATCTTTCGAAAACCAGGACATTTCTAAGTGACCCCAAACTTTTGAACGGTAGTGTACATGTCAGTACATCTTCTGCTTTAGGATGCCCACAAACCTCCCAAGACTTACTTGTCTGAAGGTAGCTAGGTACCAGTTTAAAAAATGAATGTAAGTACAGTGCCTTCAGAAAGTATTCACATCCCTTGACACTTTGTTGTGTTACACTGTGAATTTAAAATTGATTAAATTGAGATTTGTGTCACTGGCCAACACACAATACCCCATAATGTCAAAGTGGAATTATGTTTTTAGAAATTTTTACAAATCAATAAAAATTAATAGCTGAAATGTCTTGAGTCAATAAGTATTCAACCCCTATGTTATGGCAAGCCTAAGGTCCCTCAGTCGAGCAGTGAATTTCAAACACAGAAACCGAGGAGGTTTAGCAATGCCCCACAAAGAATGGACACCTATTGGTAGATGTGTAAAAAAAACTAAACAGACATTGAATATCCCTTTGAGCATGGTGAAGTTATTAATTACACTTTGGATGGTGTATCAATACATTCAGTCAATACAAAGATACAGGTGTCGTTCCTAACTCAGTTGCCGGAGAGGAAGGAAACCACTCAGGGATTTCACTATGAGGCCAATGGTGACTTTAAAACAGTTACAGAGTTTAATGGCTGTGATACGAGAAAACTGAGGATGGATAAATAACATTGTAGTTACTCCACAATACTAACCTAAATGAAAGAGTGAAAAGAAGGAAGCCTGTACAGAATAAATATATTCCAAAACATGCATCCTGTTTGCAATAAGTTAGTTTTGACTTAAATCGGTTTGAAAATCTATGGCAAGATTTGAAAATAGCTGTCCAACTTGACAGAGCTTGAAGAATTAAACAAGAAATTATGTGCAAATATTGTACAATCCATGTGTGCAAAGCTCTTAAAGACTTACCCAGAAAGACTCACCACTGTAATCGCTGCCAAAGGTGATTCTAACATGTATTGACTCAGGGGTGTGAATACTTATGTAAATTCGATTTTTATGTATTTAATTTTCAATACATTTTTTAAAAAATTTTTTAAAACATGTTTTCACTTTGTCAAATCAAATCAAATCAAATTGTATTTGTCATATACACGTGTTTAGCAGATGTTAGAGCGGGTTTAGCGAAATGCTTGTGTTTCTAGCTCCGACAGTGCAGTAATATCTAACATTTACCCAAAAAAGTAAGGAATGGGATTTAAGAATATATACAGATATGGACAAGCAATGACAGAGCGGCATGGACTAAGATACAGAATAATATTATAGAATAGAATGCAGTATATACATATGAGATGAATAGTGCAAGATATGTAAACATTATTAAAGTGACTAGTGATCAATTTCTTAAAGTGGCCAGTGATTTCAATAGGCAGCAGCAGCCTCTAATGTGCTAGTGATGGCTATTTAACAGTCTGATGGCCTTGAGATAGAAGCTGTTTTTCATTCTCTCGGTCCCAGCTTTGATGCACCTGTACTGACCTCGCCTTCTGGATGATAGCGGGGTGAACAGGCAGTGGCTCGGGTGGTTGATGTCCTTGATGATCTTTTTGGCATTCCTGTGACATCGGGTGCTGTATGTGTCTTGGAGGGCGGGTAGTTTGTCCCCGGTAATGCGTTCGGCAGACCGCACCACCCTCTGGAGAGCCCTGCGGTTGTGGGCGGTGCAGTTGCCGTACCAGGCGGTGATACAGCCCGAAAGGATGCTCTCAATTGTGCATCTGTAAAAGTTTGTGAGGGTTTTAGGTGATAAGCCAAATTTCTTCAGCCTCCTGAGGTTGAAGAGGCTCTGTTGCGCCTGTGGACACACTGTCTGCGTGGGTGGACCATTTCAGTTTGTTGGTGATGTGTACGCCAAGGAACTTGAAGCTTTCCACCTTCTCCACTGCGGTCCCGTCGATGTGGATAGGGGGGTGCACCCTCTGCTGTTTCCTGAAGTCCACGATCATCTGCTTTGTTTTGTTGATGTTGAGTGAGAGGTTATTTTCCTGGCACCACACTCCCAGAGCCCTCACCTCCTCCCTGTAGGCGGTCTCGTCATTGTTGGTAGTCAATCCTACTACTGTTGTGTCGTCTGCAAACTTGATGATTGAGTTGGAGGCGTGCTTGGCCACGCAGTCATGGGTAAACAGGGAGTACAGGAGGGTCTGAGCACGCACCCTTGTGGGGCCCCAGTGTTGAGGATCAGCGAAGTGGAGATGTTGTTTCCAACCTTCACCACCTGGGGGCGGCCCGTCAGGAAGTCCAGGACCCAGTTGCACAGGGCGGGGTTCAGACCCAGGGCCTCGAGCTTAATGATGAGCTTGGAGGGTACTATGGTGTTGAATGCTGAGCTATAGTCAATGAACAGCATTCTTACATAGGTATTCCTCTTGTCCAGATGGGATAGGGCAGTGTGCAGTGTGATGGCAATTGCATCGTCTGTGGATCTATTGGGGAAGTAAGCAAATTGAAGTGGGTCTAGGGTGACAAGTAAGATAGAGGTGATATGATCCTTGACTCTCAAAGCACTTCATGATGACAGAGGTGAGTGCTACAGGCCAATAGTCATTTAGTTCAGTTACCTTTGCTTTCTTGGGTACAGGAACAATGGTGGCCATCTTGAAGCATGTGGGAACAGCAGACTGGTAAAGGGAGAGATTGAATATGTCCATGAACACACCAGCCAGCTGGTCTGCGCATGCTCTGAGGACGCGGCTAGGGATGCCGTCTTGGCCGGCAGCCTTGCGGGGGTTAACATGCTTAAATGTCTTAATTACGTCGGCCATGGAGTCCTTGGTAGTGGGCCTCGTCAATGGCACTGTGTTATCCTCAAAGCGGGCGAAGAAGGTGTTTAGCTTGTCTGGAAGCGAGACGTCGGTGTCGGCGATGTGGCTGGTTTTCTTTTTGTAGTCCGTGATTGTCTGTAGACCCTGCCACATACGTCTCGGGTCTGAGCCGTTGAATTGCGACTCCACTTTGTCTCTATACTGATGTTTTGCCAGTTTAATTGCCTTGCGGAGTGAGTAACTACACTGTTTGTATTCTGCCATATTCCCAGTCACCTTGCCATGGTTGAATGCGGTGGTTCGCGCTTTCAGATTTGCGCGAATGCTGCCGTCTATCCACGGTTTCTGGTTAGGGTAGGTTTTAATAGTCACAGTGGACACAACATCACCTATACACTTCCTGATAAACTCTGTCACCGTTTCAGTGTATATGTCTAAATTATTTTCGGAAGCTACCCGGAACATATCCCAGTCCGCGTGATCAAAACAATCTTGAAGCGTGGATTCCGATTGGTCAGACCAGCGTTGAATAGTCCTTAGCACAGGTACTTCCTGTTCGAGTTTCTGCCTATAGGAAGGGAGAAGCAAAATTGAGTCGTGGTCAGATTTGCAGAAAGGAGGGCGGGGGAGGGCCTTATAACCATCCCGGAAGTTTGAATAGCAATGTTCGAGGATTTTAGGAGAGCGAGTACAACAGTCGATATGTTGTACTCTATACCAGGCGGTGTCAGAGGAAGGCCCTCAAAATTGTCAAAGACTCCAGCCACCCTAGTCATAGACTGTTCTCTCTGCTACCGCACGGCAAGCGGTACCGGAGTGCCAAGTCTAGGTCCAAAAGACTTCTCAACAGCTTCTACCCCCAAGCCATAAGACTCCTGAACAGCTAATCATGGCTACCCGGACTATTTGCACTGCCCCCCCACCCCATCCTTTTTACGCTGCTGCTACTCTGTTAAGTATTTATGCATAGTCACTTTAACTCTACCCACATGTACATATTACCTCAACTACCTCAACTAGCCGGTGCCCCCGCACATTGACAATGCAACGGTACCCCCCTGTATATATAGCCTCCCTACTGTCACTTTATTTTACTGTATATATAGCCTCCCTACTGTCACTTTATTTTACTTCTGCTCTTTTTTTCTCAACACTTTTTTGTTGTTGTTTTATTCTTACTTTTTTGTTTAAAATAAATGCACTGTTGGTTAAGGGCTGTAAGTAAGCATTTCACTGTAATGTCTGCACCTGTTGTATTCGGCGCATGTGACCAATAAAATTTGATTTGATTTGATTTGATTTGATGTTGATAGAACTTCGGCAGCCTAGTCCTCAAATTTGCTTTGTTAAAATCCCCGGCTACAATAAATGCAGCCTCAGGATATGTGGTTTCCAGTTTGCATGAGGTCCAGTGAAGTTCTTTGAGGGCCGTCGTGGTATCGGCTTGAGGGGTGATATACACGGCCGTGACTATAACCGAAGAGAATTCTCTTGGGAGATAATACGGTCGGCATTTGATTGTGAGAAATTCTAGGTCGGGTGAACAGAAGGACTCGAGTTCCTCTATGTTACTACAATTACACCATGAGTCATTAATCATGAAACGCACACCTCCGCCCTTCTGCTTCCCGGAGAGATATTTATTCCTGTCTGCGCGATGAACTGAGAACCAATCTGGCTGGACCGATTCCGACAGAATATCCCAAGAGAGCCATGTTTCCGTGAAAGTATGTTACAGGCCTGGATGTCTCTCTGGAAAGACATTTTTGCCCGTAGTTCGTCAACTTTGTTAACCAGAGATTGAAGATTAGCGAGTAGAATACTTGGGAGCGGTGGGTGGTGTGCGCACCTCCTAATTCGAACCAGCAGGCCGCTCCGAGTGCCTCTCCTCCGCCTGGCGATGTTTTGGGTCAGCCGCTGGAATCAGTTCAGTTGCCCTGGGGAGATCAAACAAAGGATCTGCTTCGGGAAAGTCGTATTCCTGATCGTAATGCTGGTGAGTTACCGCCGCTCTGATATCCAATAGTTTTTCTCGGCTGTATGTAATGATTCACTTTCTGAGCTAATAATGTAAAAAATAATACATAAAAAAAACAAAATACAGCAAAGAGGCCGCCATCTTCGTCGGCGCCAGGTACGTTTGTGGGGTATTGTGTGTAAAATCAATTGAATCCATTTTGAATTCAGGCTGTAACACAACAAAATGTGGAATAAGTCAAGGGGTATGAATACTTTCTGAAGGCACTGTAGATATGGAAGTAGTTTAGTGCCCCCAAAACTTTTTGGGTGACCCGACTATAGTGAGTTATAGAGCTATCATTCTTATTGAAAGCAAGTCTAAGAAGCAAGATCTACGCGCGCTATTTCTATGCTTCCCGTTCTTAAGTTTTGTTTTTGCGTCTTTTGCATTCGGTTTTGTACACCAGCTTCAAACAGTTGAAAATACAATATCTTTGGTTATTGAAAATATATTTCACAGCGGTTTGCATGGTACAATGATTTTCTACATAAACTAAAATGAGGTGAACTACTATAATTTTAGCCACCAGGAAATGGCGAAGTGATTTCTGCATATTGCACCTTTAAATATAGGTAATAAAAATGTATTATTACCGCTATATATATATATATACTCTACCAGTCAAAAGTTTGAACACACCTACTCATTCAAGGGATTTTCTTTCTTTTTACTATTTTTACATTGTAGAATAATAGCTTATTGAATCATGTAGTAACCGTTTGAGCCAATCAGTTGTGTTGTGACAAGGTAGGGGGGGTATACAGAAGATAGCTCTATTTAGTAAAAGATCAAGTCCATATTATGTCAAGAATAGCTAAAATATGCAAAGAGAAACGACAGTCCATCATTACTTTAAGACATGAAGATCAGCCAATACAGAACATTTCAAGAACTTTGAACGTTTCTTCAAGTGCAGTACCAAAAACCATCAAGCGCTATGATGAAACTGGCTCTCATGAGGACCACCACAGGAATGGAAGACCCAGAGTTACCTCTGCTGCAGAGGATAAGTTCATTAGAGTTACCAATCTCAGAAATTGCAGCCCAAATAAATGCTTCACAGAATTGAAGTCACAGACACATCTCAACATCAACTGTTCAGAGGGGACTGTGTGAATCAGGCCTTCATTGTCGAATTGCTGCAAAGAAACCACTACTAAAGGATGCCAATAAGAAGAAGGGACTTGCTTGGGCCAAGAAACACGAGCAATGGACATTAGACAGGTGGAAATTTGTCCCTGGAGTCCAAATTTGAGATTGTTGGTTCCAACCGCCATGTCTTTGTGGGACGCGGTGTGGGTGAATGGATGATCTCCACATGTGTAGTTCCCACCATAAAGCATGGAGGAGGAGGTGTTATGGTGTGGGGGTGCTTTGCTGGTGACACTGTCTGTGATTTATTTAGAATTCAAGGCACACTTAACCAGCATGGCTACCACAGCATTCTACAGCGATATGCCATCCCATGTGGTTTGGGCTTAGTGGGACTATCATTTGTTTTTCAACAGGACAATGACCCAACACACCTCCAGGCTGTGTAAGGGCTATTTTACCAAGAAGGAGAGTGATGGAGTGCTGCATCAGATGGCCTGGCCTCCACAATCCCCCGACCTCAACCCAGTTGAGATGGTTTGGGATGAGTCGGACGGCAGAGTGAAGGAAAAGCAGCTAACAAGTGCTCAGCATATGTGGGAACTCCTTCAAAACTGTTGGAAAAGCATTCCAGGTGAAGCTGGTTGAGAGAATCCCAAGAATGTGCAAAGCTGTCATCAAGGCAAAGGGTGGCTATTTGAAGAATCTCAAATCTAAAATATATTTTGATTTGTTTAACACTTTTTTGGTTACTACATGATTCCATATGTGCTATTTCATAGTTTTGATATCTTCACTATTATTCTGCAATGTAGAAAATAGTAAAAATAAAGAAAAACCCTTGAATGAGTAGGTGTGTCCAAACTTTTGACTGGTACTGTGTATATCTCAGATATAGGACAGACTCTATAAAACAAGCTTCCTTTTGATTAATGTTTTTACTATCTGTTTTTCCATGTATGAATCTGTTATTCAATGCGTTTCTATGGGCTAATAGCAGTAAGGCCAAATTCAATGTTTCATCCAATAATTTGTATATATATATATATTTACACCTAAAGGGGTATCAAAAAAATACCCAACAAGCTTAGACTCTTAAGGAATAACTTGGTAGGGCTTTAAAAGTTAATGGACTCACCTCTCTGCTTGGTGCTCTCTCTGACCATGAAGGAACCCACTCTGTTTTCAGGGAGACTAAGTAGTTCCTCTGCCTTCTGCCTCACCACTCCCTCAAACAGCCATCTTAAAACAGCACACACACACACCCACACATACACACACGGTGACGGTATACAGTACATTATATCACTGTACAGAACCAAGTCAACACAGCCTTTAATTATGACAATATAGAACATCATTTTTTACATTGCTTACCCATGGTAGACTTTGGTGATGTGGTTATTAGGGATGTAGTTCTCACTTCCTGATTGGACAGACCGGACTCTCCACCAGTTGCCTTCCCTGAAGAACACAGATTAAAGGAGACCTTCAATAGGCTACACTGTAACGGAAACAAAATCTGAAATTGTAGTTCCCCCCCCTATTTGTATAAGTGTTAAGTGTTATGCATCGGATTCATCCCAATGTGTTCATTATTTGTTGTGTGCAAAATGTTAGAGATTGTGTAGTGTTGTTTTGTATTATTGCATGCTTTGTTGTTCTACTGTATGCAGAGCATTGCATTTTGTTTTGGAAAGCACTGTGGCTGTCCTCTTTTGTCATCTCGGTATCTATATCTGTAACTGTGCATCTATCAATTTCTGCCCTAGGTAGCTTTTAGTACATGTACAGTATGTGCAAGGTAGGGTTGCAAAACTACCGGTAATTTACCAAAGTAACTGTAATCTATGGTAATTCATACTCAAATAACTTTTTTAAATATATATTCATACTGTATATAGTATACGTTTTTTATATATGTCCATATTGTCCATGTGTTTCTAGTGGATGTATAGACCATATGGTTCAAATATCATAATTAATGAAGAAAGCATCTAATCAACAATGGCATTGTTTTTATTAACTCAGCAACTCTTCCAACTATTGACTTTTTTCACAACTGCCCCCAGTTTGGTGCCAAAACATTTAAAACAAAGACATATTGACATAGTAAAATAAATAAAAGTGTAAAGAAAGAAATAAAGGATATTTCATGCTAAAACCTTCATATTAAACAACAATGTTATTTACTTTTGTTTTATTTTTTTTGTCTTTTTTAAATATTATTTTATTTTTTTTGGGGGGGGGGGAATGGATCAGCTTAATATTGCAGATAGATTGTATCTTCTATCAATGTAATTGTCTGCATCACTTCCAATCCCCCATGTTATTTTTTTTTTTTTTGTATATATATACTCCCCTTTATTACAAATAAATGCTTCACAGAGTTCAAGTAACAGACACATCTCAACATCAACTGTTCAGAGGGGACTGTGTGAATCAGGCCTTCATGGTCAAATTGCTGCAAAGAAACCACTATTAAAGGACACCAATAATAAGAAGAAACCTGCTTGGGCCAAGAAACACGAGCAATGGACATTAACCAGCATGGCTACCACAGCATTCTGCAGCGATACACCATCCCATCTGGTTTGGGCTTAGTGGGACTATAATTTGTTTTTCAACAGGACAATGACCCAAAACACCTCCAGGCTGTGTAAAGCTTATTTTACCAAGAAGGAGAGCGATGGAGTGCTACATCAGATGACCTGGCCTCCACAATCCACCGATCTTAACCCAGTTGAGATGGTTTGGGATGAGTCGGATGGCAGAGTGAAGGAAAAGCAGCCAACAAATGCTCAGCATATGTGGGAACTCCTTCAAGACTGTTGGAAAAGCATTCTAGGTGAAGCTGGTTGAGAGAATACCAAGAATGTGCAAATCTGTCATCAAGGCAAAGGGTGGCTATTTGAGGAATCTGAAATATAAAATATATTTTGATTTGTTTAACACTTTTTTGGTTACTACATTATTCCTTATGTGTTATTTCATAGTTTTGATGTCTTCACTATTATTTTACGATGTAATAAATAGTAAAAAATAAAGAAAAACCCTTGAATGAGTAGGTGTGTCCACACTTTTGATTGGGACTGTATATTTGATACCCTCCCTTTGCAACCCTAGTGCAGAGACTACGGGTTTGTAATTACCTTAACAGACAGACAAAGTACTGACTCTACTTACTGAGACAAGACCCTCAGCTTCTCCCCCATTCTGAAGATCGGCTCACTGATGTCTGGAGAAGGATAGTCATGGAGAACGACAAGCGTGACTTCTTCTCCTGCTGAAGAACCGCCAGTGTTACCCAATTAGATAGACGTTAACACAGAGACACAATTTGCCTATACACGTTCTGAAATATAGGAAACAACTGTCTTAATGTAACTTCTAATTCAAATGAATGGTATGAAACATTTAGACACTTGGGTAAAGAGTGTGTCGACTAAAAAGTCCTTGAGTCAGCTTTTGAAGCTGTGTGAACATCATATATTTTGTACAGCCTCAACACATTGCAGTATCACAAACTGCAGTATCACAAAGAAATGGCAAATAACTGCTTAATATCTCAAAAAAGATTGAAGCTTTACCCTTTAATGCACTGTCATGGTAGCTTGTATTTGTTTTGTTCTCAGCTTCCTGGCCCCATATCACATTCCCCATAGCCGCACTCTGATGAGCCTGAGGACAGACAGACATACGGTATATCTGGTCATCAAGCTAATCATCATCACGTATTTCCTATAGCAGACAGAGAGTAATCTTGCTGGCCAGTGAAGCCCCCATCCAGCACCTTCGTCCCTGTCATGTGTGTGCATGTGTGCATGTTGTAACTTCCCTATTAACGGCCACAGTGCTATCTCGACCAGGACATACGCAGTAGACCGCAAAACCTGAGGGTTGGCTCTGAGTCAACCACAACTTTCCATCCTACCCCCTCTTTCTAAATAAAGGAAATACTGCAATTAATTTTGCAAAATGCGTTGACAAATTGGAAGGTCCATTTGTGTCTACAGCAGTTGGCTATATTGTGTAGCCTATATGTTTTTACTTCACCCATTACCCACAGTGAAAACTACAGGGTTTCCAAATGATTTGTCGAATCCTGATTAAATTCAGCATTTCCAGGTTTCTATCTAGCACATATTTTAAGCATACAGTGGGGAGAACAAGTATTTAATACACTGCCGATTTTGCAGGTTTTCCTACTTACAAAGCATGTAGAGGTCTGTAATTTTTATCATAGGTACACTTCAACTGTGAGAGGCGGAATGTAAAACAAAAATCCAAAAAATCCAAGATGACGGTCAATCACCCTCGGTCTGGGGCTCCATGCAAGATCTCACCTCGTGGGGCATCAATGATCATGAGGAAGGTGAGGGATCAGCCCAGAACTACACGGCAGGACCTGGTCAATGACCTGAAGAGAGCTGGGACCACAGTCTCAAAGAAAACCATTAGTAACACACTACGCCGTCATGGATTAAAATCCTGCAGCGCACGCAAGGTCCCCCTGCTCAAGCCAGTGCATGTCCAGGCCCGTCTGAAGTTTGCCAATGACCATCTGGATGATCCAGAGGAGGAATGGGAGAAGGTCATGTGGTCTGATGAGACAAAAATAGAGCTTTTTGGTCTAAACTCCACTCACCGTGTTTGGAGGAAGAAGAAGGATGAGTACAACCCCAAGACACCATCCCAACCGTGAAGCATGGAGGTGGAAACATCATTCTTTGGGGATGCTTTTCTGCAAAGGGGACAGGACGACTGCACCGTATTGAGGGGAGGATGGATGGGGCCATGTATCGCGAGATCTTGGCCAACAACCTCCTTCCCTCAGTAAGAGCATTGAAGATGGGTCGTGGCTGGGTCTTCCAGCATGACAACGACCCGAAACACACAGCCAGGGCAACTAAGGAGTGGCTCCGTAAGAAGCATCTCAAGGTCCTGGAGTGGCCTAGCCAGTCTCCAGACCTGAACCAAATAGAAAATCTTTGGAGGGAGCTGAAAGTCCGTATTGCCCAGCGACAGCCCCGAAACCTGAAGGATCTGGAGAAGGTCTGTATGGAGGAGTGGGCTAAAATCCCTGCTGCAGTGTGTGCAAACCTGGTCAAGACCTACAGGAAACGTATGATCTCTGTAATTGCAAACAAAGGTTTCTCTACCAAATATTAAGTTCTGCTATTCTGATGTATCAAATACTTATGTCATGCAATTACTTAAAAATCATACAATGTGATTTTCTGGATTTTTGTTTTAGATTCCGTCTCTCACAGTTGAAGTGTACCTATGATAAATAATTACAGACCTCTACATGCTTTGTAAGTAGGAAAACCTGCAAAATCGGCAGTGTGTCAAATACTTGTTCTCCCCACTGTAAACGCAACATGTACATTTTTGGTCTGAAATAAAATATCCCAGAAATGTTCCATATGCACAAAAAGCTTATTTCTCTCAAATGTTGTGCACAAATTTGTTTACATCACTGCAAGTTAGCATTTCTCCTTTGCCAAGATAATCCATCCACCTGACAGGTGTGGCATATCAAGAAGTTGATTAAACAGCATGATCATTACACAGGTGCACCTTGTGCTGCGGACAATAAAAGGCCACTCTAAAATGTGCTGAAGAGTATTTATGTCTGTAATAAAGCCCTTTTTTCTGAAAAACTCATTCTGATTCGCTGGGCCTGGCTCCTCAGTGGGTGGGCCTATGCCCTCCCAGGCCCACCAATGGCTGCGCCCCTGCCCAGTCATGTGAAATCCATAGATTAGGGCCTAATGAATTTATTTAAGTTGACTGATTTCCTTCTATGAACTGTAACTCAGTAAAATCTTTGAAATTGTTGCATTTTGCGTTCATATATAGGCTTAGTACACTTTTACCATACACATATTGCAATAAATGTATGACATAGCCTGCAAAACTCACCTAGCTGCTCCTGAGTCGTGTGGAGTCGTCAGGCTTAGTGGGCCAGTAGCAGGTGATTCTAGTTGAGCATGGTCTTTGGCTCTGTGTGTTGGAGATCAGACGCATGTCAGCCACACTGTTACACTATTATTAATGACCGTCAGAGTTTCACTGTTCACACCCTCAACTGATGCACTCACAGTGAGGCGAGACCACTTCCTCTGGCCAAACATATACACACACACACACACACACACACACACACACACACACACACACACACACACACACACACACGCACACACACACACACACTTCCTGTGAAGAAATAAGAAAGGAGAAGAGAACCAGAACAAAAGACCAATGAAAATGTTCCCGTTACAGAAAAGAGCAAAGAGAACGTTCTGACTAAAAGTACATACTGGTTTTAGCTTTTAGAAATGACACAAAAGTGCAAGGTTATTTCCATCCAAATATGTATGCTGTACGCATCACATACACTACCAGTCAAAAGATTTAGAACACCTACTCATTCAAGGGTTATTCTTTATTTTTACTATTTTCTACATTGTAGAATAGTAGTGAAGACATCAAAACTATGAAATAACACATATGGAATAATGTAGAAACCAAAAAACTTTTTTGGTTACTCCATGGTTCCATATGTGTTATTTCATAGTTTAATCACCAAAACAAAACATAATGATATCTTCTCAATTTTGTTATTTTAACTACCAGTTAATCCAATAGCAGAAAGGTAAGATACATGTTTCAAAATCGCCCTTTGAATGTAGTATGCTACAGTACTGAAAATTACTGTACATTACACTGTTTTCACATTGGCAATACACTTGCACTACCCATAAAAATGTACTGAACATCACATTTCCATTATTTCTATCCCATGTGTGATCAAAGGTGTGATAATTGAAGACATCTTTCACAATGTAATCAAATTAAAGAAATGAAAGAAATATAATGTTTAGCCGGCACTAGTTTGCATCAAGCAGGTCTTGAGCATTTGGCCATAGGTTCTCATTGAAATTGCAGTATATCCTTATTGTTCATGCACCTGGGGAAAAACTCCACTGGGCACACATGATTGAATCAACATTGTTTTCACGTCATTTCAATTAAATTACGTTGCACCAACGTGGGACCTGACATAGGTCTGAATTGATGTCATTGCATGCCTCATCCATGGCCTAAAGGAGGGTCGTAATTCTCATGGGGATGGCAATCACCTGTATTGTAATCATGTGTTTTACAGTATTGTATTGTACTTATGTATTGTAGTGGTCCTGTACATGGCTCAGTTCATAAGAGCATGGCATTAGCAACACCAGAGTTGTGGGGTCGATTCCCACTGGGGTCACGTACCAAAATGTGGACTGTTGTCCCTTTTGGGAAAAATGTGTCTGCTACGTAAATGGCATGTACAGTGGCTTGCGAAAGTATTCACCCCCCTTGGCATTTTTCCTATTTTGTTGCCTTACAACCTGGAATTAAAATGGATTTTTGGGGGGTTTGTATCATTTGATTTACACAACATGCCTACCACTTTGAAGATGCAAAATATTTTTTATTGTGAAACAAACAAGAAATAAGACAAAAAAACAGAAAACTTGAGTGTGCATAACTATTCACCCCCCCCAAAGTCAATACTTTGTAGAGCCACCTTTTGCAGCAATTACAGCTGCATGTCTCTTGGGGTATGTTTCTATAAGCTTTGCCCATTCTTCAAGGCAAAACTGCTCCAGCTCCTTCAAGTTGGATGGGTTCCGCTAGTGTACAGCAATCTTTAAGTCATAGCACAGATTCTCAATTGGATTGAGGTCTGGGCTTTGACTAGGCCATTCCAAGACATTTAAATGTTTCCCCTTAAACCACTCGAGTGTTGCTTTAGCAGTATGCTTAGGGTCATTGTCCTGCTGGAAGGTGAACCTCTGTCCCAGTCTCAAATCTCTGGAAGACTGAAATCTCTGGAAGAATTTTCCTGTATTCAGCACCATGGTGAATACATATGCAAGCACCACTTTTCCGTTCTGTATTTTTTAGAATGATTTGAAACAAGTTCACTTCAAGAACACTTCACCAATTTGGACTATTTTGTGTATGTCCATTACATGAAATCCAAATAAAAATCCATTAGGGGAAGTGTTAGCTAAACATGCTAAGTAGTTGAAAAGTAGCTAAAAAGTATTAAGTAGTTTCTAATTGGCTAAAATGCTACAGTTGTCAGTGATGAGTTTCGAACACGCATTATACGACCACCCATCCACCCTGACCAACCACTCTACTTTCGTTCTTGTCTTAGGTAACCTTCTGTCTTATGTAATAACATATCATAATAATTTGAACTTTCCAGATTTATGTTTCCTATGTTACGTCTAGTCTATGAGACTAGGCTGGAATGATAAATCATGTTTTCCTTCCAGGCTGCCTGCAGTTGCAAGATGTGCTACGCCATTTGGCAAATCTGACCATAACTATATCCTCCTGATTCCTGCTCAAACAGGAAGGACTGTTTTGCTAGCACAGACTGGAATGATCAAGCGTGTGATCAAAGGTGTGATCATTGAAGACATCTTTCACAATGTAATCAAATTAAAGAAATGAAAGAAACATAATGTTTAGCAGGCACTAGTTTGCATCAAGCCGGTCTTGAGGCGGTCAAGCCGTCATCCCCACAGTGACCATATGTATATATCCCAACCAGAAGCCATGGATTACAGGCAACATCCACACTGACCTAAAGGCTAGAGCTGCCACTT